TAACCAGGACACAATCCTTAACATCCCTTTACCTTCACCTTCCAGCCTTTTCGGAGACTCTTCTAGTTTAGATATCATAATGCGCCATACAGTCTGATCTTCAGTACTGAGGGACCTAGAATCTAGAAAAGCTGCATGCTGACAGTAACCAGAGGTCAGCTCTGTTCAAGGATTGCTCTCAGATGACTTCTCCCCAAGCTCACCACCTTCCTTGGGGAGCCTGCCCCTAGTGACTACTCCATGCAGATACAGAAAAGCAAACATTGACTCCAACCCAGAACAACCCTGAACACTCAGCTCAGCTGGAGCTAAATCATGTCTTGGTGATGAACTGAAGTTCAACTTTACCCTCTGCTCAATCCTACTTCTTTCTCCTCCCCCACAGGTGTTATTTATTCTCAAGAACACTACTTCCTAATCATGTTCCTGAATGTTCCTTGCCATCTCAGAGTCAGGCTCCTGAGAAAGCCAATCTACAATACCTTCCAATTCAATGTCCCAAATATATTTTGAGTGTATCCAGTAACTCCTGATCCACTTCATCATCCAAGTACTTCACATTCATCTCTCACCTGGATCTCTGCCTTATCTTCACTTCCCACCCCTCCAAACAGTGCTTTCTTCAGACAAAAAGGGCCTTCGAAAATGTTAATCTAATGACATTAGCTCCATTCAAACTTTTTAGTTGTCCATTGCATTTAAGATAATGTCCAATCTCTTTAACATGGCTTTTCATGATCTGGTCCCCGATTACCCTGCAAGGCTATGCTGAATCTTCTTAAACGATAGGTCCTCAGACCCTCCTTTCAACTGTCTTCTTTTCTCCAGATATTATAAATTTCTTTTAGTTCTTTTATCAAGTGATATAATATACAGACATAAAACAGTGTAATGTTTAAGGACCCTGGCTCAGGAGGCTATCAGATCTGGGCTTCACACCTAGGAGGCTATCAGATCTGGGCTTCACATCTAACTAAACAACTGCATCTGTAAAATCACCAGCAGACATATCACACAATCTGTATGTCTAAAATGACAATAATAAAATTACTTCAAAGAGTCATTGATAATTAGATCTAATTAGAAATATTAACTAGAAAGTACAAAGATTAGACCTAATACCAAAGTGCTTAGCAAACTTCCCAGCACAAACTCAATAACAATTATGTTAGCTTCATCATCATCATCATCATCATCTTCAGGCATTGTCTTTGCCCACTCAAAGGCTCATGCCTTTTGACGCCAGGTTCATATCACTTATAAACCTCAGGTCATGCAGCTACTCTCTGGAAACACTTTTTTGGCCCACTTAGGTTAGTTGTAGTTAATAGGTGGTCACATTCCTTACTATATTTTCCTTATGTTAATATTTAAAGTTACTCATTAAATAATCTTAGCTAGATCGCTAACCATGTTTGTTTTTGCTTTGTATATAAGGGCCTAGCATAGTACCTGTTTTATTTCACTACATAATTGACACAATGTATTATTCCATGCATACTTTCTTTCCAAAGGCCTTTTTGAATTAAAATCCAGAAACATTTTGAAGGTTTTAGAATGAACATCATTTCATGATATAATTCCTTGGGAAATAATATAATTACAATCACATTCATAATATGTAATAAATGATATTCATTATAAAATTACAATGCTGGTTTTTAAATTGAAAATAAAATGCACATTGACGAAGAATCACAAGTACAAGAATACATATCCACTGAATTAGATAAGCAGATAAATGCTTCATAATCCAAATCACTGAGACCCTAGTTCTCCACTGGAGAGTAGCAGAGGTAGCCCAACTAGAGGACACTTATTGATGTCTAAAGACACTTTTGGTTGCCATAACTTTGAGGGGGAGTAAGTGGTACTGGCATCTCTAGGGTAGAGGCCAGGGTTGTTGCTCAAGAGTCTACAATGTGCAGGACAGTCTCTATCAACAAAGAGTTATCAGCCCCAAAATACTAATAATACTAAAGCAACTCTGTGCTTAGAGTAAAGGAGACAGCATTTAAAGAAAGGATAAAAATTCAAAATGTCCAGAGTATGTTGTAAAGTCACAGACTTTGTAATGAGATATTTTAAGAACAAGAATGGTGATCTTTCCAACCGGCTAAAGTAAAGAGCTTGATTAAGGACGTTGCTTACTGACCCTTGTAAAAGGCATTCCAATATCTAATTCTGAAATTAAATTAAATGTGAAAATTAATGTGTACACATGTATTTCAAAGAGGAAAAAAGGAAAGAGACGTAAATAAAATTATGGAATCATAACAGCTGACAAGGCAAATGAGTAAATGTGGTCATACTACATATTACTTGTCTTACAAGACACACCCACATGTACCATCAAATGTCTTAACCATTCTTACCCTAGAAGATTAAAGCAAACTATTGCCACCACAAAGTGATACAACTGCAGGACAATTTTCTCAATAGACTAATTATAAAGAAAATTTTAAAATATAAAGAAGTGAGCTCATTTTACTTTTTAGAAAGCTCTTTAATAAAACTGGCTATAGTCAGATTGAACAAATACCTGTGTAGGTAGACAGCTGCCATGAAATCCTGTATTAGGTAGAAAAAGCACTGTTTCAGGAATAGAATGTTTCCCCACTCATCCTAATGAATAATTCACATAAAACTCTTTTCTCATCATTGACAGCTAACATGGCTTAGCTAAGTCCAAATGAATGGTGAGTTAATGAAAAGATAGAGCCATATGCAAACTGAGCTAAGCCAGATTTTTGCTATCAAAGCAAAGTGAAAATTTGAGACAATTATGAGAAATTCATATATATATATATATATCATGTATTTATTTAGTACCAAATTCTCATATATATTTTTCTGCATTCAAGTTACTTAATGGCTTTGAATATTTACTTTCTCAAGCATAAAATATAGATGCTAATATTTTTATGATCATTTGTAGTTTTTGCTTAAAATGTACAAAAACTCAGTGCTTCCTAATGATGTAGATATTCAATAAAAGTTAAAAATTGTAGCACCTAGTGGAGCATTCTCAAAAGCTTAAAGTTAAAAGCTGACACTTAAGTTTGCTTGTTTTATTCACATAACCATCATGTTTTTATAAATTATAAACAATGTCCCCTAGTTAATCAGGAAAAAAAAAAAACTTCTTACTTTAAAGAACAAGAAACAGATAATTTTTAGTGAGACTCATGGATATATGTTGCCACACCCTTCAGGAGAACCATCCAATCCAGCTCACTTTTTTTTTTTTTTTTAAACATCTGAGGGCTCTTTTATGCTGCCTTAGTCTATTTGGGCTGCTATAACAAAATATCATAAACTGTGTGGCTTACAATTAACAGAAAATAACTTCTCATAATTCTGGTTCCTGGAAGTCCAACACCAGTGTCTAGTGAGGTCTCACTTTCTGGTTCATAGATGGTATCTTCTTGCCATGTCCTCACATGGTGGACAGAGGCTAGATCCCACTGGAGTCTCTTTCTTTTTTTTAATTTATTTTATTTTATTATGTTATGTTAGTCACCATACTGGATTCTCTTTTATAAAGGCACTAATTCCATTAATGAGGACTCCATCCTCATGACTTAAGTACCTCTCAAAAGCCCCATCTCTTACTACCATCATTTTTGGGGGTTAAAATTTCAACATATGAATTTGGAAGGCACACAAGTCTTCATACCATAGCATATGCACAGAGTCTAAATAGAATCCTTCTTAATAAAATAATAACAGGGTCATTGTATTCATTTTATTTAAGAAGGATTCAGCTGAAAAGGGGAACTATACTTTGGGGAAGCAGCGAGAAGTAAGATATTGTGGAATCCGTGCCACAGAAACTATCATATTCTCATAAAGTCAAGTATACCATAGAATCTTCACTGTTGGTGGTGGTGGAGATGTATATTCTTCCCACCCTAATTTCTACTTCAGCTGACCTCTGCTTTTCAGATTGTAATATACCACCACACTCCCTAGTTACCACCATCCCTACAGCTGGACACTTCTGTTACCTTCATTAGATGCTGCAGTTTCTGAAAGACCCAAATTCTTCTGCAAGGTACCATTACTGTTTCTCAATTCACCTCATCCACTTAAGTCTCACAATTTATGCTCAGTAATGTTACTTCTTTAAGCAATACTGTCTCATCCAGGTCCCTCTGCCAAGCATCTTTTCTGCTACACTGCTGCTGAAACTTAGCTTCTGCCAGACTCCCTGCAAACTTTGCACTCCTGTGGCTCTTCTGTGCACTACAGTGAAGGAGGAGAAATAGTTCTGTCTTTTCCTACCAATGTTTTAATTCCTATCAGGAAGTAGCATATATATCTCCTGTATCTAACATAGTAAACCTTTATTTCTTATATTTACAAATAAATCCTTCCAATCCTAGCTGCTTCTCAAGACACAGACATGGGTTCATTGGAAGTTAAACAAGAGGTTAATGGGTGTGAGATGTCAATAGGTGACCCAGTTTACATGTAACATGCAGCATGCATATAAAGGCAAAGCTTGCCTCTGCTGCCTGCTCATCAGGGACAATTTGCCAGGCAGGGTGGTTCTGCTGAATTGCTCTTTGCTATGTCTTCAGAAATGAATCACAGAACCTTTTAATTTTAGGAAAATAGTGCACTTGCTTTTTTCAAACATTGTAGAAGCTGATATAAAGACAATCGTGTGTTACTTTTATTCTGAAGTTTTCAATATTCAGTTCCAAAAACTACGTTAACCTTACCTCCTTGGCTAGACCACGTGACTGAGTCCTTTTTTCCTTTCAGCTCCAGGAAGTAAGCAGAACCAGAAAAGAATCTGCCTAGAATTAGGTGTGGCTGATATTCATCATTCTGTCTCTCTACTAATATACTGTCAGTGGGAAGAATGATACAATTAGATACCTGGGCTTTTGAGATTTAACACATCATCTTTTAAGGTTCCCAGAATTTTGGCAGTCTCAAAGGTAGGTGGCCTTCATATTTTCATTACCATAGTAAAAAGAAATTTTTTTGTTAATATGGAACAATTCAGGAATTTGCACATCACCTTTGCACAGGGGCCATGCTAACCTTCTCTGTATCATTCCAATTTTTGCATATGTGCTCCCAGAGCAAGCACCCCCCAGTAAAAATTCTCATGTCCCTTCTAGGAACAGAGTTTGATTACTGGGTCAAGCTTATCAACTGACTCTTCCTTTCAGATGTATTTTTTTTCCAGTGTTTTGGGGTTTTTTTAGGATATTTTTATTTCCAAGTTCAATGTCAATCTCTGAGATCTACTGAAGCTGGAATCTTCTTTCACATTATGCTCATTAAGCTAAAGATGAACACTTGCTCTAGTGCTGTTTATGTTTCCCCGCTTTTGTAACAGAAAAGAATACAAGCCATAAGTAAGTTTGATTCAGAGCTTTTCAAGTTGACTGGAAGATGGAATTCTTCAGGATGACTTAACTCTTTAGTAAACCAACATAGAGAGGAAAATCATACAAGAGCTGAAATGTCAATTTAATTGGGATATGTGATAGAAAACAATAATAGTGGTGATATTAGCTGCATTTTCAAATAGAAAAACTAAGCTGCAGGATATTATATACTGCTCTTACTTAAAATTGAAAGCAACCTAGAGAAACTTATGCATTTTTAAAATGACTTTAATTGGCTCATTTCACACCAGGAAGCCGATGTTTGTTAAATTATTAAGAAAAGATATCATATAATGATACAGGTCAAGTTCTTTTATAAAATGTCTTTACAATGAAAAATTTACTACAATGAATATATTTTCAAGGCACAAGTTAGTGAACTATAATGCTTTGGGGGTCTTAAAATAATAAAATCAAGAAACTAGTAATTCAGTATGACAAATGCTTCTGTTTTTAACAGACTGCTAAAAATTCTCATCATATTTCATTTTTATTCTCTTATTAGCCCTCATTCAAATGTAAAAGTATGGTGTGGGAAACAAACCTTAAATGGAACACTCTTAGCTTTCTGGAAAATTATACTAATCATATTATCTTATTGTCCAATTAAATAAATCATCTTTCCCGGTAGTACTATAATGACATTATCACCTTTTTAATATCTCAGGAACAAAATGCACAGCTGAAACACTTCCTCCAAACAAAAGAATATCAGCTTGAGCCCGAATAGGTCTATTCCAGTATACCTCTGATACTCTATAAATAAGCTTTCAAAAGATCAAAAATGAAGATGTCAATGCTACCTAGAGCAATCTACACATTCAGTGCAATCCCTATCAAAATACCACCCACTTTTTCCAAAGAAATGGAACAAATAATCCTAAAATTTGTATGGAACCAGAAAAGACCCCGAATAGCCAGAGGAATGTTGAAAAACAAAAGCAAAGCTGGCGGCATCACAATTCCAGACATCAAGCTCTATTATAAAGCTGTCATCATCAAGACAGTATGGGACTGGCACAAAAACAGACACACAGATCAATGGAACAGAATAGAGAGCCCAGAAATGGACCCTCAACTCTATGGTCAACT